GATTACTGTAGCTCTATAATATTGTCTGAAGTCTGGGAGAGTTATTCCTCCAGCCTCTTTCTTTCTCTTCAGTAATGCCTGGCACTTCTAGGCCTTTTGTGGTTCCATATAAATTTTATTATGATTTGTTCTAGTTCTGTGAAATATGTCCTGGGTAATTTGATAGGGATTGCATTGAATCTGTAGATTGCCTTGGGCAGTGTGACCATTTTAACAATATTGAGTCTTCCAATCCAGGAGGATGGGATATCTTTCCATTTTTTAAAGTCTTCTTTAATTTCCCTCATCAGTGGTTTATATTTTTCTGTGTATAAGTCTTTCACCTCCTTGGTTAGATTTATTCCTAGGTATTTTGTTACTTTGGGTGCTCCTTTAAAGGGGATTGTTTCTTTACTTTCTTCTTCTGTTGATTCATTGTTAGTGTAAAGAAATGCAACTGAGTTTTGAATATTAATCTTGTAACCTGCTACCTTGCTGAATTCTTCGATCAGCTCTAGTAGTTTTTGTGTGGACCTTTTAGGGTTTTCTATATATAGTAACGTTTGTCGGCATATAGTGACACTTTTACCTCTTCTTTTCCAATGTGGATCCCTTTTATTTCTCTCTCTTGCCTGATTGCTGCGGCTAGGACTTCCAGGACTATGTTGAATAGGAGTGGTGATAGTGGGCAGCCTTGTCTTGTCCCGGATTTTAGTGGGAAGCTTTTGAGTTTTTCACCATTGAGTACTATGCTGGCTGTATGTTTGTCATGTATAGCTTTTATTATGTTGAGATATGTTCCCTCTATACCCACTTTAGCGAGAGTTTTTGTCATAAATGGGTGCTGAATTTTATCAAATGCTTTTTCTGCATCTATTGAGATGATCATGTGGTTTTTGTCCTTTCTCTTGTTGACCTCCTTCACTGTTGAAGAATGACTGCACAGGGTGCGGAATTCCAGGCTGAGGGGCTTTCCTCTCAGCACTTCACCATGCTCTTCCTGCCCGCATGGTTTCTGAGAAGTTGGGTGTCACTCTTGTCTTCGTCCCTCTGTAGGTAAATTGCTGCCCCTGGCTTCCTTCAGGGTTTTTTTTGTCTTTGATTTTCTGTAATTTGAATGTGATATGCTCAGGGGTTGTTTTCTCAGCATTTGTTCTGCTTGGTGTTCTCTGCGCTTCCTGGCTCTGTGGTTTGGTCTGACATCAGTTTCTGTGAGTGCTACTGTGGACATTTCTTGTGCCACGTCCTTCTTTCCCTTCCGTGTGCCTGCGGGCTCGTGCCACGCTGTTTGCAGGTGGCCCGCAGGCCTCTGTCCCCCGAAAGTCTTCTGTGTGCATTTCTGTTGCTGTGTCTTCAGGTGCAGGGACGCTCCCCGAGCTGTGCCCCATCTTCCCTCAGCTCGTCGAAGGCTCCTTCGTTTCTGTTGGGGTGTTGCTGGTCCCTGGCCTCTGCTTTTGGCTCTCTCTCACAGCGGTGCCTCTCTGCTTGCAGGGTTCGTCTTTTTGCACCCGTCTGCTCTGTCCGCCGGAGCCTTAGCGTGTGTACCATAGTTACTCTGCGTTCAGGCACCCCTGCCGTGTCTGATTGTAATGCTTGTCACATCTCTTCAGGTGGTTTTGCCTTTAGGGTGCCTTGCAGACTCTCCTGATAGCTGGACATGGCGTGTCTGGTCAAAGGACCTGCAGCAGATGGGCCTTAATGACGTGGTGGTGAGGTGGAGGGGGGCCTGCTCCGTGGTCCGAGGCGGGGGTCTCAGCCACTGGGGAGCCTGTGCCCCTGGCCTGCGACCCTCACCAGGCCTCCTCTTTTGGTCCTGGCCTGTGAGCGGGACGAGTGGCGAGAGTGGACTGCAGCTGGGTGTTTCTCCCCCTAGGCCAGCAGGGCTCAGGCAAAACCCCAGTAGGTCAGGCTCTGGTTAGCTAGTGTCCCCGAGAGCAAGCCTTGTTGGCCGGTTCAGGATGGTTCCTTTTCCTCCCCGACTCCCCGACCAGAGGCCCAGGGGAATTTTTCTCCAGTATTGACCATGGCAACCTGGGTGAACTCCTGGAGGTAAATCTCACAGCACCGAGGGCCCCGTGACTGCACCCCTGGAACTTCTTCTCTCGGACTCTGCACCTGAGGCTCCAGCAGCCTGTCCATCAGGTCTGCCCTCCTACCCCAGCACCAGCTCCCATGGGGGCTCCCCTCTGTGGGCTCCAGCAGGCGGAGGTGCCCCGTACCTTCCACTGGGGGCCGCGGTGACTGCGCTTCCCGTGTGGGCCTAAGAAGAGCTGTGGGTTTCTCAGTTTTTCAGCCTTTTCCTTGTTAGGGTGAGTGGTGACTTCCCAGCTCCTCGCTGCTGGGCTGGAAGCGGGGAGCCTGTGAGTCATTTTAGGAGTCTCTTTTTCCTGGTGTGCAGATCAGGGTCTGAATGAGTTGCACGTTGCTACTGTGGTCTCTTTCTTAAGCCTTTCTTTCTAAAAAACTCTCGCCATGGAAAAGCTCAGGCACAAGTAAAGCAGATGGAAGATGTAGTGAAGCTAAGGGCCCTTCACCCAGCAAAGTCCTGCTGAGCGCCAGCCTGTCCGGTTCTGTCTGTGCCCCTGGGACCTGCCCTGTGTGTGAGCCCTTCGTTTCAGTGTCTTCAGCACAGTTCTCAGTACTTCTCCAGAAGACACGGGCTGTTTTTAAATGTGACCACAATGCCATTTCGCTCCTAAAGATGTGGTAGTGACTCTTTAGTGTCTCTGTTGAGTCCCCTGTGCACTCCAGCTGCCTTGCAAGTCGGGGTCCCCACCCTGCCTGGTTGATGGGTCTTCCAGTCTCTTCTCTAAAGCCCCGGGAGGCCGTGGCATCTCTCCTGGCCCTGAGGTCTGACAGCTGGGTGGAACTCTGCCTGGCCCCCTCCCCTCCTCTCCTCTGGGTCTGGGGGCCAGGGCATGGGTCTCACAGTTGGTTGGGAGGTCGGGAGGCACCAGACATCTGCCCTTCTCTGCAGGGTGCTAGCCACCTGCCGCCCAGGCTGAGAGCCATGCATCCTTGGGGTTTGCAAGGTCGCGATTAATGCTTTGGTCCCTGTCATCTTCCAGAGGGGACTTTTCTTCATATTCTTGTTCTGCCGTCACTGTGAACTGTGGCTCCAGACGAGCTGGTGTTTCCACGCCCTGGCAGGTGTCATGACGTGGTGCTCACTTTCAGGGCCTCTCTCCCCACGAGCTCCCACCTGGCGTGAGGAGGCCCTTCTGGGAAGTGTAGGTTGTAGGGTGAAGGGGGTCCTACCCAGGGCTCTTGCCAGGTAGGCCAGCACGCGTCATTAAATAAATCGCCTTCCTCACTAAAATGAAATCCTCTCTCTTACATAAATTCACAAAAAGGCTGCTGCACACTTCTGATGTTCTGCTCGGCCCACTGCTGTTGTCTGTTCTGTGTGGATGTCAGTTTGATGCCGATGGCTTTGCAGAGTGCCCGGCGTCCTCCAGGCCTGTCTCTGGGCAGTCCTCGAGGGCTGGCCGTGCCCTGTGGCCAGGGCCGTCTGCCTCATGTGGGTTCTCTGTGCTCCTCGTCTTGACTCCGCGTGTCTGTTTCTAGGACCCTTCGCTGTTGGATGGCCGAGTGACACTACTCCATGTCCCAGCAGGCACGGTGGTGTCGAGGCAAGGGGACCAGGTGAGCTTTTGGCTGCCCCCCGAGTGGTCACCAGGGCCGCTCGGGGCTGCAGCTGGCGCTGGATGGAGCTGGGAGAAGGTGGCCCCAGCGTGGTCCAGCCTGGGCAGCCAGAGGACATGACGTGGGGAATGCTGTCACTGTCCCGGGCTGGCTCTCTCCCTCAGGCTTGTGAAGATGTCTGTGGGTGTGTTGAGTGCCACTGAGCCTGCCCTCTTGCTGTAGGGGGCGGGGGACATATCCACACCCACACAGGTCATGTTCACGGGCATGTTCACAGCCACTGTTGCTGACCTCACGAGTCAGGTGCAGAAGGAATAATTTTGCTTGCTTGGTCCTCAAACCCAGTACAGAGGAAAACTAATTTTGTTTGTCATAAATGAACGAAATTGCTGGTTCTGAGAGTCCTGGTGTGCTGGGCTGGCAGAGTTGCGTCCACCAGCTCTGGCTCCTGGGATCACGTCTCTTGGGGTTCTCCGCTGGTGAGGGCTGCCTTCTCTCCAGCCCCGCACTAGCACGGGGCAGCTCGGAGAGCAGCTGTGGGGAGAAAGGCCTTTCTTGTTGGGTGAGCAGATGGACCTGGGGCCCCCACTCCTGGACAGACTCTCCTGCGGAGCATCGCTGCTCGGTTGGGGGCGGCCACCCTGCAGGGAGAGGGCCTGCATTCGCCCCTGTGGCCGAGCCGATGGCACATCTGTGTGGAACAGCCAAACATGCAGGGCGTCCCAGGCTGGGCTTACCGCGGAGCACCCGCTAAGAAAGTGACGGTTGAGTGACTAACGTATAGATGCTGCTGAACTGTCTCCATTGAGTTGGCGCCTGGGCTGTCCAGGAGACGGGGTGCGGGGCAGGGTGGGGCGGCTAGGCTGACCGCTGGGCCATCCTGTCAGGACGTGAACATCCTCTTCGTGGTCTCGGGGCTGCTGCATGTGTACCAGCGAAAGATCGACAGCGAGGAGGACACATGCCTGTTCGTCACGCGCCCGGGTGAGATGGTGGGCCAGCTGGCTGTGCTCACAGGCGAGCCCCTCATCTTCACCATCAAGGCCAACCGCGACTGCAGCTTCCTCTCCATCTCCAAGGCCCACTTCTATGAGTGAGTCCCTGCCCGCCGGCCACCCGGTTCCTGTGGGGCTCCTGTGGGGCTCCTGTGAGGCCCTTGGAGCTCACCTGTGTGGCACATGTCTGTCCAGGGTGTGCTTGTGATTGTGTCTGCTTTTGTGTCCATATGGTGTGCGTCCATGAGTGCATGTCTGTGTGCATGTGTGTGAGCATACCTGTCTGCATGTGTCCTTGTGTGTGCAGACAAGTGCGAGTCCCCTGACATTGGCGGCCCCCATCCTGCAGACGTGGTCCGGGTGTTGTCCTGAGGGACCTCACCCAACCCGGGGCTTATGCACCAAATGCCCTTCTTCCCCCAAACTTCCCTTCGGAGTTCAGGCTCGTGGGGGCTGCTGTCCTGGACGTCCCCCTGGGATGTCTCCGGGGTCTCACTCTCTGTCGTCCGACGCAGAACTTTAGATTTTCCACGTGTTCCTGCTCCCGATTTAGTTACCTGCTCAGGCTCGGCCGAGTCCCAGGTCACCTAGGCTCCACACCCTCCCTCGCCCCATCCAGCCAGACCTCAGCCCACGAGCCGACCACTCACCTGCCACTGCCTTCTGGAAGCCTCCACAGTGTAGTGGGTCCCCTGCTATCTCCTCACCCTCAGCCCTGTTCTCATACAGCAGATGGGAGACGGATGGGTGGTGCTGCCACCCCAAGCCCGCCAGTGACTTCCATCACACCAGGTGCTAGCTTTCCCAGCTGCGTGCCCCATGGTCTCCGCATCTGACCTCTTGGCCACCCTTATTCCCACCCCCCGCCCTCGTCTTCATGGCCTATCGCGGGGAGGAGGCTGGAGCTCTGACCCACCGCCAGGATGGGGGCCTTCTGTGTAGCCTGTACTCGGGGGCTCCAGAAGCCCTCCTACAGCCACTGGCCACTGGGCTTCCAGGGCTTGATGGGGCAGCTGGCTGACTGGGCGCCGTGCCCACCCTGGCCTGTGGCAGTGTCTGTGGCGCTGGCTGTGTGGGTGGGGGTGCCGTGGCCTGGAGTGAAGGGCCTGGAGTGACACTGGGGTGCCCACAGCATCATGCGGAGGCAGCCGGACGTGGTCCTGGGTGTGGCGCACACCGTGGTCAAGCGGGTGTCCTCCTTCGTGCGGCAGATTGACTTCGCCCTGGACTGGGTGGAGGTGGAAGCTGGCCGCGCCATATACAGGTGAAGCCCTCGGGGCAGATCTGGGCAGGGCTCAGGGCGGGGCTGCTTTCCGGGGCAGCAGGCCTCCTGGTCCTCCTGTGCACACGCCACACTGACGCACACTTGCTTGTTCGTGGGTGTCTCTACGTGGATACACGCGGGTCCACGCCATCCTTTCACATGGAAACACCTTCTGATGTGCTAAATGCCATCTCAGATTGGCGTCCTTGGTTCCACGTGGTAACAATGGCTGCATTCAGAGTTTCACACTCGCCCAGGTCACACAGACCTGGGTTGCAGTGGTCGTTTTTCATGTTATTAAAAGCTAAAACTAAGAAAATTTTAAATTATTTATTTAAGGTCATTTACTTAAAAATCACAATAAACCCTTTATGTGTTAGTGTACATATTTTTTAATGGAAAACAACTATTTTCCAAAGCAAAAAAACTTAGTGAGAAGACTGAATCTTTTTTCTGCTGCCTTGGGGTCTTTTGTTTTTCTGCTTTGCCTCTGAGGGCTTCTGGCTGGGGCCTTGCACGCCCCCAGCAGCCTTCTTCCAACAGGCAGGGGGACAAGTCTGACTGCACCTACATTGTCCTCAGCGGCCGCCTGCGCTCCGTGATCCGGAAGGACGACGGCAAAAAGCGCCTGGCGGGGGAGTATGGCCGGGGCGACCTCGTCGGAGTGGTAGGGCCGCCCCCACCATGCCATGGGGAGGGAGGCGGGCCACTGCCTTTTGAGGGGTCTCGGGGTGGCCCAGGGGGTTGTCACTTCTCGAAGATCTCCCCCAGGAAGAATGTAGGGTGGGCAGGGTGGGGGCTGGGGAGTGGCCCCTGGGCAAGGTGATCCCTCTGAGAGCCTGGAGGCCCTCACAGGCAAGGCCATGTCCTGTCTGCCCCGCGGTTCTCACAGGCGCCTCCCCCTCCAGCACAGGAGTGCTGGGTGAGCCCCGTTTCCTCCCACTGCCCATCACCTCCGTGGGCCCTGCCCTCAGGGGCTGGTTGCACTGGCCCCAGCAGCCGGCTCCTCTCCCCAGGTGGAGACGCTCACCCACCAGGCGAGAGCTACCACGGTGCATGCTGTCCGGGACTCGGAGCTGGCCAAGCTGCCCGCAGGAGCCCTGACATCCATCAAGCGCAGGTACCCGCAGGTGAGGCTGCGTCTGGCGGGGGAGGGCCTGAACGTCCACACTGGGGGTCTGGGCGCCAAAGCGAGGTTCCCACAGGAACACCTGGAGTAGGACCAGCTTCCAGGACTGCGTGGGCATGGGCAGCCCGTGGGGCAGGGCCTCAGGGTCGGGTCGGGCAGGGTTCTCCTGCCCCAGACGCACTCACAGATAGCACTGCCGTCTGGCGATGGGCATTTCTCCCTGGGCAGTCCTGCTCTGGCCTTTTGGTGGCTGCCTCCCTGCTTCTAAGTGACAGGCGTGCAGCCCAGGAGGGGGAAGGGCGAGGCAGGGTGGCTGCTGCACCAAGTCGGCCAAGTGGCTGCCGGGGCAGGACTGGCCAGGCGGCTCTGAGGGCTCAGGCCTCCTCCAGCTTCACAAGCTGCTTGTGGACAAATGAACAGCCCCCAGTTTATTTTACAAAGGAATGTGACTTTAATACCAAAACTTGATAAAAATAATGCAGAAAACTTTAAATCATTTCTCTTAGTACCAGAGCTAGAGATACTCCAAACATTAGCACATCAGCTATAATAAAGACGTGTCTGATTAGGGCCCATCAAGGGATGTTACCAGTGTTGGGAAGTTATTAAATGTAATTAATTACGGCAAAAAATTAAAAAAGACCCTCATGATTATATCAAGGCCTCTCACAAAATTCAACCATTACTAATAAACACTTTAAATAAAATAAAAGTGAAAGGAACCCTTTTAAACATAACAAAGACTGTTTCTTCCCAGCGACCGAAGTCCTGAACAAGCCAGCCTCCTCGTCAGCTGACATGGAAAGTTAAAAAGATGAGACAAGTGTGTATATTTGGAAAAGGAGTAGAAATTACATTTGCAGACAGCATGTATCTCTTTTTTTTAAACATTTTTTTATTGAGTTATAGTCATTTTACAATATTGTGTCAGATTCCAGTGTAGAGCACAATTTTTAGTTGTATATGAATATATATATATTCATTGTCACATTTTTTTCTCTGTGAGCTACCATAAGAGCTTGTGTATATTTCCCTGTGCTACACAGTATAATCTCGTTTATCTATTCTACAATTTTGAAATCCCAGTCTATCCCTTCCCACCCCCACCCCCTTGGCAACCACAAGTCTGTGTTCTATGTCTATGAGTCTATTTCTGTTCTGTATTTATGCTTGTTTGTTTGTTTGTTTTTTAGATTCCACATGTGAGCATCTCATATGGTATTTTTCTTTCTCTTTCTGGCTTACTTCACTTAGAATGACAGTCTCCAGGGACACCCATGTTGCTGCAAATGGCGTTATGTTGTCAGTTTTTATGGCTGAATAGTATTCCATTGTATAAATATA